ATTCAAAAACAAGCCGCAGATTCAGAAAAATTTTCAAAGGACTCACTCAACATTCAGCAATAAAAAGAACAGCTAACCTTCCTAAAATACAAGTCAAAGAGCTGAATGATCAGCTCAACAAGGAAGAGATAAAGATAAAAAAAAAAAAAAAAAAAAAAGCAAAAACGAGTGAGAGTGATGAAATTACATGATAAAGAAATAAGAGGGAAAAATATCAAGGGCAGTTTTTCTGATTTAGGAACAAAGAGAATTCTCATTAGAGCATCATAAGGCCCAGGGTGGTACTAAAAGGAGAGGTGGAAGGGAGAAAGAGGGGAAACAAAAAAGAAAAAAAATCACAAAAGAGAAGATTAACAGGAAAGGAAAGGATCTCAGCTATCGGTACAAGCACAGATTAAGAGTCTAACATCGTACAAAAAATGAGTTAGTTAGGAGACATTTTGACATTCAAGACATCCATCCAGCCCACTTCTCAGCTTTCAGGCTTATAACTGCAGATAGTAGATTGAAAGCATTTTATTTGGGAAATCTGAACAGCCTAAGAACAAAGTAAAAAATATACTACCATCGAGGTATCCCATCAAAACAACATGGTTCATTAACCATAAGTTGAAGTACACAGTAGATAAGCCCTATCCAGCTGCTCAGAATTTCTAAGTAGCTCTTTAGTGCTCACCTTATCAGCCAAAAGATAAGAGTCATAAAATATTTGAGGAAAACTACTTGGTAGAAATAAAGACCCTACTGGTAGGGGGGATGTAGCCCAGAGGTAGAGCACTTGAAGAGCATGCATGAGGTACTAGATTTAATCCCCAGAAATGGCCAAATAGTAATAATCAATTTTTTAAAATACAGATGTAGAAATTATAAAGCAAAATTAATTTTGATCTATTATTTCCTCATATAAGAGAATACATTAAACAAAACCAAGATGCTATTTTAAAGAGGTAATGGGGGGAGAGGGCAAAAAGAAAAACCTGAGGCCTGAATGAAAAAGTTAAGAAAATCTGGAAAACCTGACAAAAAGAAAATAATATCAGGCCAGGAAATCAAATGTACAAAACATTTGAAGTCAAGAACAGGAAAAACAGAAGAAATAAAATAATATAAGACCTAGAATTAAATGTTACAAATTCTAGATTAAAAGCATCAAATAAATGTCATACAATAATGGAAACATACCCACATTTATTTCACATTACTGTGAAATACACTAGCAACAAAGAACTTCTCAACAGCAACATTAGAACTTAAAATATTTTAAAGTAAAACGGTAATGTGTTTGAGAGAAAATGATTTCCAGCTAAAATTCTATACATAACCAAAACAAAAATTAAAGGTAAAGGTAGACTTAATGACATTTTTAGGCCATCGCAGGATCTCTGAAGCAAGCGAGTAAGCTAAGAAGGTAAGACAACTGGAAATACAAGAAATGCAAGGGAAAGATGAAAAAGGGAAACCAAGGTAATTGTGGATAGAGACCATGGAACAATAGCTATGTGTGAGGTATAGAGAGCAGTCAGGTCAGAAAGCACCAGAAAATGTGTGTCCAAGAAAATGTATTTGATGGAATACCTGATATGTTTTAATGTCTTGACAGCCAGGGAGGCATGTATAAAAATATAATCAGAAATAGGTATGCAGAAAACTAAGCACAAGGATAAAAGATCTGCAATATTAATATTAATTTCAGGGAAAATATGCATGGAAGGAAAAGTAATCATATGCTTCAAAAGCAAATAACTTTACCTGTCATGGTGGCACATATCTAATTCCAACACTCAGAAGACTGAGGCAGGAGGATACAGATTCAAGGCTAGCATGGGCTACATAGCAAAACCTTGTCCAAGAAAAACACAACAAACATAGATAGCCTTGAGCTGGAGAGATGGCTCAGTGGTTAAGAGCACTGACTGCTCTTGCAGAGGACCCAGGTTCAATTCCCAACAGTCACACAATGGCTATGAACCATCCTTAACTCCAGTTCCAGGGGACTCCAAAGCCCTCTTCTGACCTCTGCAGCATTGCATGACACGGGTACACTCACATACATTCAGGCAATACACTCATACACATAAAATAAAATAATAAAATATTTTTTTAAAAAATAGATAGCCTTTATGCAGTAATAATTATATGAAGATTGTTTTAACTGAAATTATGATGTAATTATATTGAATATATGGGATATAGAAAGTATGTGGTAGTACATGCAATAAAAGGTAGCAAAATCTATTTCCATTCAAGAAAATCAATAGATAATATGTTTGTAGCCCTATCATAAGTTGAGATTATGGGTTACTATCCTTCCTTGCTTCATCACAGTCCCATCCCCCTCCTCATTCATACTCAGGTAACTACTGTTGCAGTGGTGTCACTAGCATAGATTGTAGAGAAAAGATAGTTCAGTTAAGGGAGCAGAATCACAATCCCTTTTTTCCTACCCCTACCTCACAGGTTCTTAAATTCCTAGCAAAGCGCCATAAGAAAAAGAAACTATTTGCTTCTTGGCACGAACTCCAAGGACTCACCGATGCACGCAGAGTTGAACTGAAGCAACAAGTAGATGACTATGTCAGAAGGCATCCGGTATGTAGGCTTCCATGCCATATATCCATGTTATATTACTCCGCTGCATAGTATTCACCAACAAAGTAGTATCCTATATGTATATGCACATTTATTGTTTGATACAAGGTGAGTCAGTGGCTTCACCATGGTTAATGGATTTGAACTCTTTAGTTACATGGTGTGAAGGTATACTTGGTAGCAAATGGGAACTTGACTTAAAATTAGTTACTTCCCATACTATACCAACAAAACTTGTATATTGCTTCTTTTATAGTATAGTACAGTAAAATCTTAGCTATTTTGAATCTTCTAATAAGAATATATGAACTTTCAATCAATGACTATTCCTTCATACACTGAAACACACACATAAGAACTTAATTTACTACTAGTCTGGTAGTGAGCCTCCAAGACCCAGTAAGAGATAGAATTTGATTATCTATCACTTTTGGTTGTAACTAATGTTAGAGGTTTGATGTGATATTTTTAGGTAATCCTATTATTTAACCTTTCATTCTTGCAGACTCTACCCTCCTGGTAATACATGAGGATGGGCATGGAAATACACACAAACACACATAAATAGAAGGCAGAATTCAACTGTATCAGTGCCATACATGAATCTGATAACCACTGGAACAGAGCAGTGCTAAAAGCAAAATCAAGTACAAGGCTTAGTCCTTCCTACATAAGAGATTTCCCTCATTGTTTAAATCTTTATATCACTGACTCTTGTCATGTACACCGTATAGTGAATATTCTCAATGTTGTGGGACCTTCAGCCTTTATGTAATTAGTCATTTCTGGTTTGGTAGATCTAAAGTAGCTACAGATTATATCTAAATAAAGAGGTATGGTAATACTTCAGTAAAACTCTTATTTTTTTAATTATTTGTTTATATTGTGTATGTGTGTGCACACATGTGCCGTGGAGCCTTTGTTGAGGTCAGATGACAGCTTCTAAAACAGGCCATTGTTTTTTTTTGTTTGATTGCCCTCATTTTGAACAAAAATAATAACAATTTATGATATAGTCTTTACAGCATACTAAAAAGTAAACTGCATGGCAATAATAGCATAAAAGCCAGGTGGGGAGGAATATATATGATTTAAAGATTCTTGTATGTTGTTATGGTATCACTCAAATGTAAATTAATAGGATAATGGAGCATTCTGTAAACCCTAAAACAATTACTAAAAAGCAAAAAGTTACGGAGGAAATGAAAATAAATAAAAGTATATAATTTGACTAATCAAAAGGAAGACAGAAAAGGAATATAAAAAGGAAGTGATATGACAAATAGAAAATATCAAGATAATAGACTGACACATGACCATGTTAAAAATAAGTGTAAATGGCCACTTGCCAGGTATAAGCAACTTACAATTATCTATAACTCCAGTTCAGGAAATCAAATACCTCTTCTAGCCTCCATGGGTGCTGCATGAATATGATGCACATACAAAAAGTCAGGCACATACACATAAATGAAAATAAAATTTTTAAAGATCCAATTATGTGTTTATTACAAGATATCTATTATCCTTTAAATGAAAAAACTAAAAAGTGATATGGATATACATATATGTGTGTATATATATACGTGTGTGTGTATATATATATCTTCAATTGATTGTTGTCAGAGGAATGTACTTACTACAATAGAGAATCTGAAGCAATTGCATATATGTATGTGTGTGTATATATATATATATGAATTTAATCCATATATCATACTGCGTGCAAAGTTAATTCAAAATTAAAGGTGTAAGGTATTAGCTGGACCAGGGCTATGTCAATTTTTGAGAAATCTGTGGTGTCAGAAATCATACTGTAAAGCTAAGATTATTTCATTCTCCAAATTAATCACTAAGTTCCCCTTAAATTAGATAACTAGTCTAAAGAATAGGGGCTTTTAAGCTAATTTTATCCCTCATTCTGTGAACCAGAATAAGTTATCATATTGTGGGATAGACAAGTTTGGAACAGGGATGAGATAAATAAAATAGTAGTTTAGATGAGATCCAAAACAAAAGGAGTTGACTGGTTGGTTTTTCGGGGATGTGGGGTTTTTGGTTTTGTGTTTTTTAGGTTTTTTGAGACAGTCTTGGAGTATAACCCAGGCTGGCTTTGAACTCCTCGTCATCATGCCTCTGCTCCCAAGTGTTGAAACTACAGGCATGTATCACTGTGCCCAGCTAAACCTGTTTTTAAGAGAAAAGCTTTTTTTTTTTTTTTTTTTCAAATGTGTATGAGTGTATTTGCCTGCATGTATGTGAGTGCACCCATGTTGTGCAGTGCCTCAGAGGTCAGAAGAAGGCTTCGGATTCCCCTGGAACTGGAGTTAAGGATGGTTCGTAGCCGCCATGTGGGTGCTGGGAATCGAACCCAGTTTCTCTGCAAGAGCAGTCAGTGCTCGTACCACTGAGCCATCTCTCCAGCCCCAGAGAAAAGCTATGTACTAAAGTACAAGATAGAAGTCAGCCATAAGAGTCTATTGATAAAATGGCAGACCAGTAAGCATTCTAGAAGCTCTGCTACTTGATAAGTAAAACATACTTTGATATATGTCATATGATGACAAGTTTTTCTGTCATTTGTTTTCAGGGCTCTCAGATGTCAGAGGTGGCCAGCAGAGAGCTCCATGCCCAAGCTCAAGAACAACTGCAGCACTACTTTATGGGTAGAACCTTAGAAGAACGAGCCCAGCAACATAGAGAAGCTCTGATGGCTCAGATCAGCACCAATATTGAACAGTTAATGAGTATGTTCTGCTTCCAGTTCTGTTGTTGTTTATTTCATAAAAGGAAGAGTCCTTACAAGATATACAGCATCTAAAGTCTTTTATCCCAGTCCTCAGGAAATCTCTACGTCTAAATCATCCCAGCCTGTGATGTTTTCAAATGATGCAATTCCATAAGCTCTACTTTTCCTAGTCTTGTTATCATTCATAGGTTATCAGCCCTAACAAAGTTATTAATTTTAAAGATGTGGCCTACTAGCCACATTCTGCTATGTAATCCCAAAAACTTTTGTTTATATTTTAGAAATAGATGGTGACAATACAGTGTAATTCAGTTGTAGAACATTTATAATTTTTAAAATATTTTTTGTTCATGAGTGTATTGCCTGCATGTAGGTGTAAGTGCACCCATGTCATGCAGTGCCTGTGGAGGTCAGAAGAGGGTGTCAGGTCCCCTGGAACTAGAGTTATGGACAGTTGTTAGCCTCCTTGTAGATGCTGGAAATTGAACCTGGGTCCTGCTCAAGAGCAGCCAGTGCTCTTAACTGCTGAACCATTTCTCCAGTCCCGCTTTATAATTTTTAATAAAATGCTTTCACAAGTTTCTGTTCTTGGGGCTGAAGAGATGACTCAGAGGTTAAGAGCACTGGCTGCTCTTGCAGAGCACCCAGGTTTGATTCCCAACATTTGCCTGGCAGCTAACAACTGTCTGTAACTCCTGCTTCAGGGATCCAACACCCTCTTCTGACCTCAAAGGGCTTGCCCGACATGGGCGCACCTACCTAAATGCAGGCAATACACTCATGCACATAAATAAATAAAATATTCTTTTTGGTTTCTGTTCTTTAAATAAGCTATCTAACAAAATACCCTTTTTATTCTTTTGTTTTATACCCAGAAGTTGCCAGTGGCTTGGGGTTGTTACTTCCACCTACAGCCGCAACTTTTGAATAGATACCTACCATTCCTAGGTAGCAGTGACAAGACATTCAGAATTGGAGCCCCCCTGACTATAGTAGAATTCCAGCTCTGTAATTTCCAAGTTGCTACTTGTTTGGCATACTTCCATTCACCTGTTTATTTTCTGTTTGGTACAGAGGCACCAAGTCTGAAGGAGACAGAAGGAAAAGAACCTGAGCACTTCCTAAGTAGATCCAGGCCTGTGGCAGCCAAGGCCAAGCAGGCTCATCTCACCACCCTGAAGCACATACAAGCACCCTGGTGGAAGAAGCTTGGGGAAGAACCAGGCGATGACATTGATGTTTCAAAGGATGAACTTAGTCTGGAATTAGAAACTTTGTTTATTGGTGGAATCAAACCCCCCTAGAGACTTAACTTGAAGATTGGCAATCTTACATTAAGAAATTATGTTGGTTCTCTTTCTGGCATGCTGATAGACTAGGGCTATTGTAACTTAATGGCTTTACAGAGGATTCTCTTCATACAACATTTGCAGGCAACAAAAAAAAGTTAGTATCTACCTCACTCTGTGTTTTCTTTTCTTTGTACCCCTGTCTCTAGCCACAGAAATCTTGTGCCCAATTATTGTGGCACAAGAAGCATAGAATTCTATTGTTGACATGAAATTTCTTCCATTTCTGTTTTCATATAAAAAGTTTTTTTAAATAAATGTTTTCATCCGTTCTGAAAATATTTTCAGGATTATTTCAACTTTTCATGTTTGTTATTCAGAATTTCTGTTATTATTACTATTATTATTGGTATATTTTTTACTTTTGCAAAGTTTAGAAAAAAATGATCAATTAAAGGGCATTACATTACCTAAAAAACACTGTTTGAGAGCTAGAGAGATGACATAGCAATTAAGAACACTTGCTTCTCTTTCAGAGAACAAAGTTTGATTGCCAGTGTCCACATGAGACAGCCTCTAACTCCAACTCCAGGGGCTCCAACACCCTCTTGTGGCCTCTGCAGGCATCCACATGCACATGCACATACCCAGCCACAAAAACACATACATATAAACACAACTGAGAAAATTTTAAAACAAGTGATTGAACTGATTTTCTAATTTATCATTTCTTAAAGGAAATACACGCCTGCTAGCCAGGAGTGGTGGTGCACTATTTAGTCCCAGCACTCAGGAGGCAGAGGCAGGCAGACCTCTGTGAGTTCAAGCCCAGCCTGGTCTCCATAGTGAATCCAGGCCAGCTGTGGCTACAGGAAGACCCTGTCTCAAAAAGACAAAAAGAGAGAGAGAGACAGAGAGAGAGAGAGACAGAGAAATGGAGCTAAATTTATCTATAAGATTGTTTGGTTCTAGGGACTGGAGATTTGGTTCAGTGGACTGTGTGTGCTTGCTTAGCATGCTCAAAGTCCTGCAATTGATCCCCAGCATTGGAAAAGAAAAAAAACAACAAAAGATATTATTTGATTCTAACCTAATAATTCCTGGTTTCCCTATTTTTACTGAATTTTAATACCAGAAGCCACCTCACCTCAATTTGGTTTTGTTATACAGACATTTAAAGAGGTAACAAATTATGGTTCCATACTATTAAAAACCCAGAGTTCTCTGTATAAATGAGTAGGCATATCAGTACCCTACAACAGTATCATTCATAGAAGATCCAAAGTATAATATTGTCTATTCTATCAAACTTATTTTGTAAAATTCTATTGAAAATCCTAATGTAATTTTCATAATTTTAAAAGCATATATAAAAATCACCCATAAGAACAAATAAGCAGATGAGAGTCCCAATTTTACCCAGAACATAGAAAGCAGCATGAAAATGTTAACCCCCATCTTAACAACAAAAATGGAGCTATCTGTATTTTTTTCTTGAACTTATAAAATATCTAAGATCCCAATTCACCCAAGTAAACATAAGTGGAACTTAGTATCTGTGGAATGAATATTTCACCTTTAGGAGAGCACAGGAGGAAGAGGTGACTAAGAAGAAACTAACTAAAAAACTAAATTCTTGGAGGCCAAGTGTGGGCTATCATGTCTACTTAAAATATCTAGAAGTTGTAGAGAGGTTCTGACACTCGGGCAGTCTCAACTATAAACACCTATTATAGCGAAAGAAAAATTGCATACTTCCAACATTCACATTCCAACATTCAATGGCACAGATAAACATTCCAGAATAAAAATAAAATGTTGGCACAGAACCAACATTCTCCAAAAGAGAATAATGGTTGCATAACAAGAAATGATCAGACCAAAGCAAGACTGAAATCCAGCAGGGCAAACACCAAGTCTTGCAGCTTCATGTCCAGCATCTTGAACTCATGATGAAATCATCTGTGACCCAAATGGCTTGTGTAGCCCCACCTCTCCAGCTCTTATCACCTACAACACACAAAACAGCCTCTCTTTTGGGCCATGACTCTCCACTCCATGCAGCTTTACCTCGGTGTCCTGACATCTCTAACATCTGAAGGCCTCCATTGCAACTTAGACTTCACTATCAGTGTCACACGGTCACCTCTTAGGATCATCTTGAAGAAACTCTGACTCTGCCACAAGTTTCCTAGATGCAGTGTCCCTCTGGAACCATGGCCCAAGACTCCATGACCCCCTTAATCTTGCATCTTTCATGCCTACAAAACCAGTGCTATTTGAACAATACTGCCACCTCAGGATGGAGCTTAGCTTCTTTGGACCACATTTGTAGCAGCCTTTGTGTACCTTCCTGGCTAACCTAGAAGAAACACTTCCCTGGGGATTGTATTTTGAGCAGATCTTGTTTAACATTTCCTGGGGAGGCAAACATCTATTCACCCTAGTTAGGCATGATCAATAGAGCAAGAAGTGATATCATGCAAGTATATCTTAGTGAACCAGTGAGTTTGAGTTACTTACAGGAATATGGTTGACTCAAAGGCAGTTCCATCATCTTAAAGCCCATCCCACCATGGGTGATGACTCATAAGTTGTGTCACTAGAGCTCCTTGTATGTGTGACTTGCAGGTGTCTCAGAAGGTTGATTACTATTTGTATAACTTTGAGGAGGGTCCTTATAAGCACTTTAAGTTTCAGTAACTTCTGAGGCTTATGAGTTCACTTACTTCCTGAGTCTTAACTGAGCATCATTCCAGCACAGAATGTTTTGATACTGTGGAAATTGCTACAAAATATTCTACCCTTCCTCTGATTATGGCATTCTTTCTGCTACCTCTCCCATGATGCTCTCCAGCCTTGGAGGGAGTAATGTGGATGTCCAGTTGTTTTCCTCTGTAGCTGGGTATTAAGCTACTAATGCCACAGCAACAATCAGTCACAGTATACCTTCTGCTACAAAACAAAACAAAACAAAACAAAATCGTTCCATGAGGGGATTAAACACAAATGTTCAGAAGGCACTTTGACAGGTACATCGCATCTATTTAACAATTGCTTCTCCACTAGGCCCTATATCTTCCCCAGCTACAAGTTTTGTCCTGGAATAGGGTAGCAGAGATGAATTCCTTCCTGTGGACTGTAAATCCAATCAGAAGGTTGGTTGTTTCCTCAACAGACATGACACTATTGCACCATCAGGTACATCTTACCTGGCATTTTAATATTGTAGCACACAAGGTCCATCATTAAGCAGGACTGTTGGTGACAATTCTTCCCCAGAAGCCCACATGGCTATGAAAACTAGCCATCAGTGAGGGTGCTTCCAGTTCAATCCTAGCCTGTTTTCTTCATGTCCAAGCTGTGGTGTCTTCAACAACATGTAATAATAATGTAGTTCTTGCATGAAACAAACAGTACTGGTAAAAGCTTTTATGGTTCATGAGGCCTCAGAGGCTCCCTGGCCAACACCTCTCTCATAGGAAGATAGCCCACCCCAGCACTGGATTTTCATTTAACAACCTTATTAGCTTCTGAGAGTGTCCTTTCCCACTCACATAGGATGCTTTCATTTAAACTCCTTAAACTGCTGTCTTTACTATTTTTCCAAATGTTTTTATAAGTCTATAAGACACTCAAGAATCAACATTATGTAATGAAACCTTTTGAACAGGGTGGACAGGATCTCTGAAGGCCCACAATCATCTATTCCAAATAACTGTCAGTAGTTCTTGGGTGGGTAAGGAGATCCTAAAAAGGAACTATCATCATGAAAAGATTTCACAAGTTCTGTTTTTTTTTTTTTTTTCAAAACAGCAATATGTGCTGCCTGGATGTGAGATATTACCCCATCTATCCCTCTGTGATCCATAGATATTTTCCATGAGGCATCCATCCTTCTCATTCTGGGATACTGTTTATGCTGCACTCTCCTGAGCATCTCCCCACCCCTGATTTTTTTAGTGGGGCTGGCTTGTACTACTCAGCTTATGTCTAAGGGATGCACTCAGCCTGTGGTGCCCGTTGCTGGAGCTGGCTTTCTGGTTCTGACACTCTCTGGGCCAACACTGTTGTCTTTCCACAGATAAGTGAACAATCTCCACTCCCAATATAGTTGCTTAAAAGGGAAAAATATGCACCACACACTCTGGGTGGTAATTGCCTACTCCTGGGCCAGATGACCTTTTCCATCTGCATTGTTTTATCATTTTTGTATTCTGTGAACTGCTGTTTCCAGCATTAAAGCCTTCCAAGAGATCACCAGCCCGATGTTTGGCATTCTGTTAATTTTTTCTATAGGAACTGTTATTTGACACAAATCATATTACTACTTTTGCCTTCAAGTAGCCTTCTCAACTGCCTTTGTCTTTTTTCTTTTTTGGCCCTTCTTGATTGTTTTAGAACTTTAAAAATCAGATTGACATGCTGATCTAAGTCACTCAGATCTATCAGAGCTTCTTGGTGTCCCACCATAGGGCTCAACAAAGCCATTAAAGCTTCAAACAAGTCTTGAGCTACCTCTTGAACCAACCTTTGTTTTTTTTCAGTACTAGGGATTAATCTAATGTGTCATACATATGAGATAAGTGCTCTACTACTGAGCTACAACCCCAGACCTCAGCCCCTTTTCAACTCTCCTGTGAACACAGTCCTATCTGCTCTAGTGGACTGCGCATCCAGTGCTGGTTTGCTTATAAGAATCCTCAATAATCCCTGTACATCCTCCTTGTCTTCTAGTCCCCAATATTCATGGAAACCTCAGCTGGTGATAACCAAATGGATACTATGAGCTAATTCATTAGGGATTGATTTCTCTTATATTGCCTCAGGCTATGCAGCCTTTGTCTCAAGGAAAGATGAGTGTTATATTAGTTTCCCTACTTTCATAGCAATTGGACTGACCCCAGCCACCTCCATGTCTCACAACCTCACAAGCCACACTACATCTGTCACTGCTTATCTGAAATTCTTTCACAATTAAAGTAATCCAGATGATGACTACTTCTTGATTATCAGTTTCTTGTACTGGGTCATAATTAAGACGCCCATGAATTATGGATTTTACCTTCCACTCTACTAAAGGTTGATATCTTCTGCCACCTTTTCTTTGCACTCCTCCACCTTCCTATCTGAATCCAT